GATCCAACTGAAACACATCAGGGAACTAGTTAATCTTTCATACAACCACTAGTTAGAGTTCTTCCTTTCATTTTTTCTGCCTTCAAATGCACAATTTCTAACGATGTAGGACAGAGAAAAAAGTAGAATGGATGAATACACAAAATACTTTACATTTAGTTTATTTCAGCTTAGGAACCCAGATGATACTGTGTGTGCTACTGGTGAATTTTCTTACTAAAGCTGTTTCTTGCTGAAGGAATGCCACTGAGGCTTGGACACTGTGTGTCCCTGCTGTCTTTGATTTGGAAAAGGCTGCTGAAAATAAGCACCAGTCTGATAAGATAACCTTATTAATTGAGCATAGTATGAGCACCAGCTGTCCAAGCACACTATAAAGCAGAAGGGAGGGACTTCCTCTGCAAAAGCACAACAGCCTCTTGGCAATTCTGTAGCCAAAGTTCAAAGCTCAAGATCTTTAGTAATTATAGCAAAAAGCTACAAGTCAGTGGACAGTAAGCAAACAGATGAGCAGACTCCTTTTTCAACCGACCGGAATTAGCAAAATGCCTATCTGGTTTACCTAGGTTTGTTTTTCTACAATTGGATTGTAAACTCCATAGGGAGCCAGGGCCAGGCAGTGTCTATCATGGTGTCAGTCTCTGGGTCTGGTGTGGTGCTTCCCACAGTGGGCTGCTTGCACTGTGGAGCGAACGTGTGCCTTGCCTGGGTGCTCTCTCCTGACAGTGCTTCGAGCTCTCTGATGACAGCAGACACGGGCAGGTAAAGCGGGCGCCTTGAGTGCCCAGTCAAGAGTCCCAAGTATGGACGTTCAAGACCTGTGTCCTCTTCCTTCACAGCCTTTGTTCACAATGAAATGTTTACCTCTGTTCTTGGGGGTTTGTACATCCTCTCTCCCTGCTGAGAAATGTCAGGACAAACAATTCAGCAGTGTGTATTCAAAATGACAATACAGATGGGGCGTGGTGGCTCACACCTGTAACCCCAGCACTTTGGAAGACTGAGGCAGGAGAATTGCTTCAGGCCAACAGTTTGACACCAGCCTGGGCAACATAGCGAGACCCCATCTCAATAGTAATTTTTAAAATTTGGGCCGGGCTTGGTGGCTCACACCTGTAATCCCAGCACTTTGGGAGGCCGAGGCAGATGGATCACCTGAGGTCAGGAGTGCAAGACCAGTCTGGCTAACGTGGTGAAACGCTGTCTCTACTAAAAATACAAAAAAAAAAAAAATTGGCCAGGCATGATGGCGCACACCTGTAATACTAGCTACTTGGGAGGCTGAGACAGGAGAATCGCTTGAACCCAGAAGGCGAAATCTTGCTGTGAGCCAAGATTGTGCCAACTGCACAATCTCTGGGTGACAGAGTGAGACTCTGTCTCTAAAAAATGTAAATAAAAATAATTTTTTGTTAATTTAAAAACATTTTAAATGAAAATGCAGGGAAAGATGTAGACCAAAGCATGCTGGGCATGTGGGGCTTCTTTCTAGAGATGAGAACATGCTTCTGCCCTTTAATGATATTCAGTACAAATAGGTAGATAAGACATACACAGAAAAAGAAAAATGGACAAGGCGTAACCAGATGTAAAAAAAAAAAAAAAATCAAGAACACTTAAGATCAAGACTGTTTAAACACATTATGTTATTTTATACCTCAACTTTTAAAAAGGATTAAATTACAATATTAGGCAGCATGCCATGCTCATCAAATCATGAAACAGAAAGTGCCGGAAGAAAGGGTGGTTATGCTGTGTCATGGCTGTTAGAAGTGGCTTCCCGGAGTTGGCAGGGTTTAATCTCAGGTTTCAAAGGGGGAAAAAAGCAGGAATGACGTGGGATCTGAGAGGCCAAAAACTACAGGGAGTTTTGACTGAGTGCAGCGTTCATTTGATGTAAAAGAGTGTGAAGGGGAGACTGGACAGATTGCAAAGGGCTCGAGGCCAGATTAAAAGTGTGGACTTCACCCTGCGGAAAGGAGGAAGCACGGGAGTCATGAGAAATGATGGTTCAGGCAGAGATTAGAGCATAAAGCAGGGAGGCAGGGAGGCAGGGAAGGCCAAGAGGAACACGGTCTTGGATGATGAGTCACCACGAATCTCTGATCACCTGGCACGTGGTTCCGCTGCACAGGCTGACCCAGTGGGTCTGCAGATGACGCGGATATGCTGCGAGTCTGGGAACCCCTTTTAAGGAGCAAGGATCTTAACTCTGCATATTACCACTGCCTGGTTCTTAGTCACCAGATGAGTAATGTTTTTCTCCACCAGTACAAGCTCCTGGTCTCCAGTGATCCTGCTGCCTCAGCCTCCTAAGTACCTGGGATCCATCTGTATTTTTATATCTTGTAGATAAATATCATGAATCAAATTTCATTAACATTGGGAAAGTTTTTTACTTGACAGATTTCCAATTGTATTTGTTTGCAAAAAAAATAATTTTAAATACATGGAAATGTAGTTGGTACTTTTTTTCTCCGATCCAGTAGTTTAATTACAAAGGCATTTAACAGAATAGTTTTCGTCTTTTCATGCCTCTCCTTCTTCCCTTTTCATGATCAATTCCATGGCCATAAGAATTTTTTGACGCCAACAACAGATGGGATGTAAACAGTGAGTTGTTATTTTTGCTAATATCAAACAGATGGGCTATCTAAATGAAAATAAAAACATTTCTGCAAACATGAATGTCCTCAGCAGTCACAGGAAAAATATTTTTAAATTAAAGTAAATTTCTTTTTAACTACTTTTTGTAGCGTCTGTAATGCAAGAGAGTTTTTTTTAAATGGTAATTTGGTATAGTTTTGCAACTCTGTATCTAATGTTGGAGTGAGTAGTCTTCAGGGGAGATGATTTTTTGATCTGCTTAATTTTTCTGCTTAGCATGCAGTGGCATATTTAAGGAGGCAATGTTATAACGCTTTAAAATGTAGTCATATGCAAAATTCTATGTGTGATTTGGAAGACCCCTTTAAAATTCTCTCTACGTATATAATCATAGAAGGCCCAATTTGAAAAAGTACTTCTGCAACATGCTTGGAAATACGCCAGTTGAAACAAGAATCAAGGCAGAAGGCTGGCACTCTAGTCTTTATTCCTTAGAGAGTCTTTCAAAGAAGTGGGGGCATATTGACATTTGGGGGTAAATTTTCGCATTTTATTTTTGTTGCACAAACTTGAAATGCATGAACTCAGAGTACCATAATCAGCATCAGTAACGATTCAGAAGCAGCTCTTGGAAATGTTCAATGAGACCTCCCAGGTTTCACTTAGATCTCTGAGAATTAGAGCTAGAAGGACTCTGAATATCCACCTTGGAGGTTGGGGACAGAAGACCCACCATCCTCATCGCTGTCAGCATCTCGAAGCCACTGGTCTTTCACAGTGTGTGGGAAGATGTGCTCATGCGTCCTCTCATCGCCTCTTTCTAGCACTCCAGAGGCATTTTTTGGTTACCATACTTCATTCTTTCTACTTAGACTAGTTATTATCATGTGAATACATTCACCGCCTACCTCCAACCTATGTGCATCCCATTTTAAATTGGTTGCTTCCTAAACTGTAACTATGGTCACAGGCTTCATACTTAATTTTCAGTTTCTTCCGGCTCTTTTCATGAGAGCTGATTCGTTTCTGTATCCCTTGCTCTGGCCCCTGTCAAACGTCGTGACCATTTCTGAATAGAATTGTTGTAGCTCACACAGCCTATGAGGGAAGCAGCCATCTTACCTAGACCCCCGCCTGACAGTCAGGCCCCCATCCAGAGCTCCCTTCCCAACCCAGCAGAAGCTTTTCTTACCTTCTCATGGATTCCAAGGTCTTTTTGCTCCTTTGTTGCTGGGTGGTCAGGAACTCAGTGTGCCCTTCCATGCTGCTCTTCACCCCACCAAACTCCAGGCCGGCAACCACCAAGCCAAAATTGCATTATACTTTCCAAACCAGGCCTCAGGCAACAGCAGGGAATTCCTGCCTCCAGCCTCCCGAGTTTCTCCAGCTCCCAGAGGGTCCCTTCCCTTTGTTCCTTCCCCTCTGGAGCCAGCTCCACACCCTCGGCCAACTCACCAACCTACTGGTGTGCAGTAGCACCTCCAGGGTTTGCAGCACTTATTTCAAAGACACCACTGGCTGATCACGGTCCCTTTGGCCTCTCAATAGCCCTGTCACCTGGGCCATAGCTCTGCAGAGAGCTGGGAGCAGTTAACATTTTTCTTTTTATTTTTTTTTTGAGACAGAGTCCTGCTCTGTCGCCAGGCTGGAGTGCAGTGGCATGATCTCAGCTCACTGCAACCTCTGCCTCCCGGGTTCAAGCAATTCTCCTGCCTCAGACTCCCAAATAGCTGGGATTACAGGTGCCCACCACTGCGCCCAGCTAATTTTTGTATTTTTAGTAGAGACAGCGTTTCACCATGTTAGCCAGGTTGGTCTCAAACTCTTGACCTCAGGTGATCCACCCACCTCAGCCTCCCAAAGTGCTGGGATTAAGGTGTGAGCCACTGCGCCCAACTGACATTCTTTAATTACTCCACACCAGAAAACGCAGTCACAGACACCACTTCCATAGCCTGCTTCCCTTGGCTTCCAGGGAAATGACTCCTTCATGACAGTTGAGGTCACAGTTGCCCTGGCCGCTTCCTATCCCTGTCAAACACCAACACTCCAGCCTTTTTGTGTATTCTGCTTCTGGGTTTCCTGCCTTGGGGGTGCCAAACCCAGGTTTATGGATGAAGGCTGCCGAAATGTCATCCCATGGCCAGGCCTCAGTTCTGGCCACTAGGGACTGTCTCTAGCTTTCCAAAAGGAAAGAGTTAAGGTGGCCAAGGAAATTATGCAGTCTTACTGTCTTTGGCTAAGTGGTTCCTAATATGGATCCCTTTTTGCCTCGGTAGGAAAGGAAAAAGAACTTCTCTCTTTCCCATTAGGTTCTGTAGCTGAGTGAACTGACAAAGACGGATGAACATGAGGAAAACATCATATTTTACTTAATATTTTTATAGGCACATGTGAACTTTCATAAGAAAAATGAAGACCCGAAGAAGCCGTTAGGACTAACAGCATACATACTCTTCTAACAAAAGATGATAAATTTATGGAGAAGTGACAAAGGAGAAAGCTTCAAGTTTCTAGGGGCAGTCATTGTGGGGCAGTGACTAATGAAAGACAAGGGTTATTTTAGTGGGTTTGTACAGATCCATTTCGGGGTGAGCTCCCAGTCCCTAGTGATGAGAACATTCTCCTCTTCCTGGTACAGGGCAGGCACGTTTCTCATGGAAAATTTCATGACCTGCTTTTTGGGACAGAGCAGGAGGTCAGTCAGCCCTGCATCTGAGGCTTCTCAAGTGCCTTTAGCTGCAATTAGTTAACATGCCAAAGGGCACATTTTGGGGTGGCATTTTGTGTTCTGAACCCTTTCACCTTCCTCTTGCCTACACTGAGGTTCACAGGGGCCTGCAGAGGAGCTGCTGCAGGAGGATGGGGAGATGGGGAGGCGACACCCCTCCACTGCATGAAATGCCCATGGGCACATGGCTGCTGCTTCCACCTACCCAGGGAAGAACCAGCCAACTGGCGTGGCAGGCAGGGAGCTAGTGTGGCCTCCCTGCTCACTCCTCAGTAGCGGGGCCTCCCAGCGATGCCAGTGCCACCAGAGAGCCTGGGCCACCCTGACCCCTCTCTCCCTGTTACTCTCCTTCTTCCTTCCAGAGCCCCTGCTGCCCCTCTGTCTCCAGAATTGTCCCCTGCTTGCCAGTTAACCCGTCCCCAGCGCTTGTTGGTTTCTGAGGGACCCAGCCTCTCAGCCCTCGCTGGCCACCTGTCCCAGCCTCAGAAGAAGGGGACAGAGGACACTCATTCATTCCACCATATTTACTGGGGTCAGGCCTGCACTAGGTGCTGGGGACTCCCAGGCTGACAAGACAGACCTGCCCGGAGGACCTCACATGTTAGTAGAGGAGACAAATAAGAACAGGTCAACCAAGACTCAGTGGGAAACATGCAGCCTGGATAGATGCCTTGGTAAAGCCAGGCTGGCACAGAGAGGGCGGAGGAGGCCTGTGCAGGGTCCACGGTCACCCAGGAAAGGGAGCTCGGTGGCCTCCCAGCGGAAGAGCTAGAGAAATGACGACTCCAGGAGAGCCGGGCACGGCTTTCCTAGGCTCTCACCCTACCTTGTGTGGGACACAGCGGGCGCCAGGCAGATCTGACACTAACAGGCATCGCCAGGTATGCTGGCACACACACTCACATGCGCACACTCACACACTCGCTCTGGCACACCTTCACACATACGCTTAGCCTTACACATTCACACTCACTGTTACACATTTGCTCTTGCACACCACACACTGGCAACACTCAATCACTCTTACACTTATTCACACAGTCATACACTCACAACTTCTGAATCTGATTAGAAACCTACACTAAAGGAACATCGATCACCTTCCACGTTTTGTTTACATTGCAGCATATTCTTGTACTCATTTAGCCTTGGAAGGGAGGCTCCATGCTCTCATCCAATATCTGAGTAGCCCCTACCCTCAACTCTATTGCCATGGAGAAGAGAGGGGAGGAAAGGCAACAGTTTTAAAAAAGAAAAAAAAAAAAAAGAATGCAGCCGGGCGAGGTGGCTCACGCCTGTAATCTCAGCACTTTGGGAGGCTGAGGCGGGCGGATCATGAGGTTAAGAGATCGAGACCATCCTGGCAAACATGGTGAAACCCCGTCTCTACTAAAAATACAAAAAAATTAGCCGGGCCTGGTGGCGTGTGCCTGTGGTCCCAGCTACTCGGGAGGCTGAGGCAGAAGAATCGCTTGAACCCAGGAAGCGGAGGTTTCAGTGAGCCAAGATTGCGCCACGGCACTCCAGCCTGGCGACAGAGCAAGACTCCGTCTCAAAAAAAAAAAAAAAAAGAATGCAGTCCTCTGTCCCTGGGTCGGGAATGTTGCATTATCTAGACAGATAGAAATTCAGGAAACAACGTAGGAACTCACCTCGGCCTCTTGGTCTGCCCCATCCTTGCTTTACTTGACTGAACGTCCCATTAATTTCCCCCCAACCCCAGAGGAAAGTGAGCAGAGAACAGGCCTCAACCCTTGCTGCCTTTCTTTGCAGCTTCCTGGAAAGGATCGACAGCGTCAGCTTGGTTGACTACACACCCACAGACCAGGTATGTGGAATTACGATCCCCACCGCACACCAGAAATTTTTGAGATTTGTTTCCAATATGATTTAATTATTATTTCAAAATGGATTAAGGAAAAATCCTGACGATACCTACTTCTTGCAAATCATTTGTACTGCCCTGTCTGTGTGCACAGATTGGTCATCAAACCCTGTGCCTTGCTTCACTTACTTTAGTGCTTAGTGGTTATTTAAATTGCTAGCGTGTAAATGAGTTTATCTGCAGACTAGGAACATGCAGTTCCCAGTCCTCCTGGAACTGTCCTCAGGAAAGCCAAGTCTTTACTTCCTGACTTCTAAACTATACCCATTCTGTTTGTGGCCCCTGGCCTGAGTGCCATATCACAGCGAACTTTCCAGGTGTGACCCAGAGCATCTCCTTTGGGTTGAGTCAGAAAAAAAGCACTCCACCAATTTTTTTTTTTTTTTTTGAGACAGAATCTTGCTCTGTTGCCCAGGCTGGAGTGCAGTAGCGCAATCTTGGCTCACTGCAACCTCCGCCTCCTGGGTTCAGGCGATTCTCCTGCCTCAGCCTTTCAAGTAGCTGGGACTACAGGTGCCTGCCACCTCACTCAGCTAATTTTTGTACTTTTAGTAGAGACAGGTTTTTGCCTTGTAGGCCAGGCTGGTCTCAAACTCCTGACCTCAGATTATCCGCCTGCCTCAGCCTCCCGAAGTGCTGGGATTATAGGCGTGAGCCACTGCACTAGGCCAATCTGAGTTCTTATTTTTTTCCTTTACAGTGGAACAAATTATTTGAAAAATATTGATGATGTATAGTTCTACCCGGGCTTTACCTTGAGGAAGAACAGTAATATAACTCAGCTTGCTTCCCTCTTCTTGCTCCCAGGACCTCCTCAGATGCAGAGTTCTGACATCGGGGATTTTTGAGACACGATTCCAAGTGGACAAAGTAAACTTTCAGTGAGTATGTTGTTAAGAGCCGCATGGCCCAGGGTCAGGGGACAAAGAGCCGAAGGGTTGTGGGGCTTAAGGGGGCTTCATCCCTGACTGTGCATGGGTGCCCTTTCAGGTAAGGGCAGCTGGGGTGAAATTTGAACTCTAGCAAAAGTTGAAGTGTTGATTTTACTGCCTACTTTAAAGTAGAAATGAGGACACCTGAAAGGAAGGCAGTGTTTGCATCTGAGTTGTAGATTTGATTGGCCCTTTTATTAGATCAGGAGACTCACGAAATTTTAATCTTTCAGATGCACAGTCACAGTTTGAGAACTGAAATTAGCAGTGTATGTGTGTCTCTAGCCCATCTCTTGGGTTGCCCAAGTGCAAACTCTGCCAAATGAGCTTACTTTCTTCATTTTTCCTCCTCATGGCGAGACAGTAATTCTCCCTCCACAAAGCTCTTTTCCATCCTCACAGCTATGACCCTAGTCCTGCTCCATCACTTCCCCTGCGCCTAGACTCTCTTGGCAGGGCCCTGGCTGGTCTCCTGTCTGCTAGCTAACCCATTCCAGTCGCCCTAATCAGCACCATGAAATGGATCTTCCCACAGCATGGCCTGGATTGTGCTATTCCTCTGCTGAAAAAGGTTCAGGGCTCACTATTGCCTGTGCATCCTATGACCCACGCCCTCCACCTGTGACCTGCCCCACCCCCAGCCCTGCTTTGCCACCTGCCACCTGCCTCACCAGGCTGGATTGCTGTCAGGACCCTTCAGTTCTCCCAACTCTTCCTGCTACGGCACCTCTGTTCATCTTGTCCTCTGAGCCTCAGATCCTGCCTGGGCTAAGCAAACCCCACAAATCTATCAAAGCCTCCGTCAGGATAGGCATAGGGGCTCATGCCTGTAATCTCAGCACTTTGGGAGGCCAAGGCAGTAGGATTGCTTGAGGCCAGGAGTTCAAGACCAGCCTGGGCAGCATAGCAAGAACCTGTCTCTACCAAAACAAAGCAAAACAAAAAAAAAAAACTAAAGAGGCTGAGGTGGGAGGATCTGTTAAGCCCAGGAGTTCAAGGCTGCAGTGAGCCATGATTATGCCACTGCACTCTAGCCTGGATGACAGAGTAAGACCCTGTCACTAAAAAAAAAAAAAAAAAAAAAGCATCCAAGCATCCCTTAAATCTCAGCCCATGGTGACCCCTTAGAATTCCCGTTGCATCTACTAGGCAGCCCTTGATGGTCTACTGCCCTATACCTTTTCCAGTCCCCTTCGGCATGTACGACTCGGCTCTAAGGGACCTCACCCTTAAGGTCTTTTAGAGTAAGAGTTTCATGATTTTCATTGTGTTCTGAGACTCCCAGAGTGCGCAGCGCTCTCCCCAGTTCACAGGTGACAGACACCTACTTCCAGATTTCCCAAGAACCCTTCACATGGCCACTGTCATGTGGATAAAAGCCAGCTACGTCTCTCTCTGCTGTGAGGCACACACTGCATTATAGAGTTGGCATGACTTTTCATCAAGTACCTCAGCGTGCCCCACGTGTGCTAATGCAGAGTGTACAGATTGAATTCTAGAAGGATCAGCAACATACCCGCCCAGGACAAAAAAATCTAGCCTGTGTAGTCAGTCCTAAGGCACATGTACAATGTTTAGGGAAGGGAGAAATCTCAGAGCCAGGGATGCCTGTGAAGGTTGGAAAGATCCAGCTGAACCTGAGTAGGTAGAGAAACTCTCCCAGGGAGAAATGGCTCAGGCCACAGGGTGCGCTGGGTAGCGGCTGTGAGAGGAGGGGCCTGGGCCTGGCCTGAGGAAGTGCAGGATGTAGCTGAAAAACTCTAAGAGAACTGGCTGAGCTCACTTTTGCTGGGCAAGACCAGGGAGTGACTCAGGCTGGGCAGAGAAGCCTGAACTAAATCAGGGCAGTGATAAAGACCTAGTGCACATCACCAGGCAGAGGCGGCTGGAGACAAGACGCATGTAGTGTCGACAGATCAGCAAGGAGCCTTTCTCAATGCTCCAGCGGAGTGAGGACACTCCACCTTACAGTGTCCTGAGAGCTGGAATAAATCAAAGAAGAGTCTGCCCTGGGCGGGGACTTAGCTTGTACTCAGAGAGGCCTAAGTATCTGAGCAAGTCACCTCTAGCATTACTGAGCTAGTAACTACTGCATTTATTAAAGACCTACTGTGTGACCTCAGACACTGCCGGCTGCTGTCTGCTTGATCTCTCACCCCTGTAGCCCCACTGTGGGGTGACAGAGGAGGGACAGTGGCTGAGAGAGGTGAAGCCACTTGTAGTCCAGAATCACACAGGGAGTGATGGTGCAGGCCAGACAGTGACCCGAGCCTGACTCAGACCCACGTGTGATCGCTGGAACCTGCTGATAATAAAGGAGGAAAGCAAGCATGTGTGCCATTGTCCCCTGCTTCCCTCAAATAACTGTGTTCCTCTTGCCCTTCCACAGCATGTTTGATGTCGGTGGCCAGAGGGATGAGAGGAGAAAATGGATCCAGTGCTTTAACGGTGATTTTTATGCTCTCTCAAGAAAATGGGGGTGAATTCTAACACTTGGCACTGCTGTGCTTAACTATTTTTGAATTAGATAATCTCTAATTTAATTAGTATGTATAGTATTTTATAGATTATTAAGCTCCTTCCTCAGATATTAATCTCATTTTTAATAAGCGTTTAAGGGCCGGGCGCAGTGGCTCATGCCTGTAATACCAACAATTTGGGAGACTGAGGAGGGCAGATCACCTGAAGCCAGGAGTTCAAGACCAGCCTGGCCAACATGGTGAAGCCCCGGCTCTATTAAAAATACAAAAATTGCCGTGCACATTGGCTCACACCTGTAATCCTGTTTGAAAGCACTTTGGGAGGTCAAGGCAGGTGGATCATGAGGTCAGGAGTTTGAGACAGCCTGGCCAATCTAGTGAAACCCTGTCTCTACTAAAAATACAAAAATTAGCTGGGCATGGTGGTGCACCCCTGTAGTTCCAGCTACTCAGGAGGCTGAAGCAGAAGAATTGCTTAAACCTGGTAGGCGGAGGTTTCGGTGAGCCAAAATCACACCACTGCACTCTAGCCTGGGCGACAGAACAAGACTCTATCTCAAAAAAAAAAAAAAAAAAGCCAGATGTGATGATGGGCCTGTAATCCTAGCTACTGGGGAGGCTGGGGCAGGCTTATGCAACCACACCCAGCTAATTTGCAACCCAGGGGTTGGAGGTTGCAGTGAGCCGAGATCATGCCATTGCACGCCAGCCTGGGAGACAAGAGTGAAACTCCATCTCAAAAAAAAAAAAAAATAGCATTTAAGCATCCCAAATTTACATGTGTCTTTTGGGGTAGGCTCTTCATCAGTACATTACTGAAACAACAAGTGATACGTGTGGTGCATATCCAGGCTATTCTGTGACTGAATAGTCCTATCATTGAATGAATGTTTTGAGGAACTGAGTAGCTGCTGGGTGTGTACTTTCTTGTAACTCCACAGGGAGGATTTCTACCTGAGGTGCTTTCCTTTTTCTCTTTCCCCCTCCAAGATGTCACAGCGATCATCTACGTCGCAGCCTGCAGTAGCTACAACATGGTGATTCGAGAAGATAACAACACCAACCGGCTAAGAGAGTCCCTCGATCTTTTTGAAAGCATCTGGAACAACAGGTGATAAAAATAACAAATTCAGTCTCACTACTGATTGCAAGTTTTCTTTTGTTAAAAATATGCTCAGGCCAGGCATTGTGGCTCGCACCCGTAATCTCAACAATGGGAGGCCGAGGCAAAGTGGGTCACTTGAGCCCAGGAGTTGGAAATCAGCCTGGACAACATGAAGAAACCTTGTCTCTACAAAAAAATACAAAAATTAGCCAGGCGTGGTGGTACACACCTGTCCCAGTTACTCAGGAGCTTGAGGTAGGAGGATCGCTTGAGCCCAGGAGGTGAGGGTTGCAATGAGCTGAGATCACACGACTGCACTCCTGCCTGGGCAACAGAGCAAGACCCTGTCTCAAAACACACAAACACACACACACACACACACACACTCTCTCTCTCTCTCTCTCTCTCTCTCTCTCTCTGTCTTTACTGATAAATCCAGAACCATAAGAAGTATCTTTTTTGGTTCATCTATTGTATAGACATACTTAAAATGTGGAGTGTTCTTTGATGAAGTTCTGATGGTTGCTTTGTCAAGAAAATTTAAATCTCTGTTTTGAAAGCCTAAGATTACATTCGGCCTTCCATATCTTCAGGTTCCACATCTGCAGATTCAACCAACCACAGACTGAAGACATTCAAAAATAAATTTAAGATAGCAATACAACAACAACAAAAATACAGAATTGCCAGGCACAGTGGCTTACCCCGTAATCCCAGTATTTGGGGATGCTGAGACGGGGGAATTGCTTGAGCTCAGGAGTTTGAGACCAGCCTAGGCAACATTTTGAAATGCCATCTCTACAACAATATAAAAATTAGGTATGGCAGTACACACTTGTAGTCCCAGCTACTTGGAAAGCTGAGCCCAGGAGGCAGAGATTACAGTGAGCCGAGACTGCATCACTGCACTTCAGTCTGAGCGACAGAGGAAGACTCTGTCAATTAATTTAAAAATTTAGCAAAGAAAAAATTAGACTAAAAAATAAGAATACAAATAACAAACACTACAGTATAACAAGTACTTACCCAGCTTTTACATTTGTGATAGGTATTGTAGGTAATGAGGAGATGATTTAAGCATATGGGAGGATGTGCTTGGGTTATATGCAAATACTACGCCGTTTCATATAAGGGAGCCTCCTCAGATTTTGGTATTCACAGGGAGTCCTAGACCAATCCCCCATGGGTATCAAGGGATGACCCTATAGCTAGGGTTCAAAATAGGTTTTGTTTGGTTTTTAAAATTTAGGAAGCACCAATTTAGGGGCTGGGCACAGTGGCTCATGCCTGTAATCTCAGAACTTTGGGAGGTTGAGGCAGGTGGATCACCTGAGGTCAGGAGTTTGATACCAACCTGGCCAAAATGGTGAAACCCCGTGTCTGCTAAAAATAAAAAAGTAGCTGGGTGTGGTGGTGGGCACCTCCCAAGTCCCAGCTACTTGGGAGGCTGAGGCAGGAGAATCGCTTGAACCTGGGAGGTGGAGGTTGTAGTGAGCTGAGATTGCACAACTGCACTCTAGCCTGGGCAACAGAGTGAGACTCTGTCTCAAAAAATAATTTTTTTTTAATTTAAAAAATAAATAAATAAAAATGCCATTTTAGGACATCCACTAATAACTAGATGACCTCTAAGATCGCTTACAGCTCACAGTCACCACATTAGTGTTTGAAACGACTAGCGTTGCAAAGTGGCAGAAGAGATTATTTCAGAAAGGAATATTTAGCATGCACACACACAATAAATACATATATAGTTAGAAATCAGTTTCTTCTGAAATATTTAGGAAGAAATATCACCAAGGAGGATAGGAAACATAAGTTTATCTTGTAAGAGTTTTGGATTATCAGAAAAGTGTCTTTCTATCAAATGTTCAACAACTATCCTCCAATTTGTGGTATTAAGACAGTTAATGGGAAAGAAACAGGGTCAGGAAATACCAGGTATACAGAAGAATACTATAGAGTTATTTTCAATTTATTTATATACACTATATGTGTAAGTGGGAAAATGACCACAATATTCTTATATGAAAAAGCAGATTTTGAAATATTATGATCTTGTTTTTATAAATATATGTGAGGACAGAAAAAAAACTTGGTCATAAAAACATAAAACTTCTATAGTAATTGTTTCTGGGTATAATTGCGTTTGATTTTTTTCTGCATGTTTTTCTATAATTTAAGATTTGTTTTTACAAAGATTATATATTTTTTTTTTTGTGAGGGAGAAAAAAGATTATATATTTTATTACTAGAAGAAGCAGGTAAGCTATTTCCATCTGAGGGGAAAATAGATTGTGGAGTCTTTTTGTTTTTTGTTTTGTTTTTTGAGACGGAGACTCGCTCTGTCCCCCAGGCTGGAGTGCAGTGGCACTGTCTCAGCAACCTCCACCTCCCCAGTTCCAGTGATTCTCCAGCCTCAGCCTCCTGAGAAGCTGGGATTATAGGTGTGTGCCACCACACCCAGCAAGTTTTTATATTTTTAGTAAAGATGGGGTCTCACCATGCTGGTCAGGCTGGTCTCCAGCTCCGGACCTCATGATCCACCCACCTTGGCCTCCCAAAGTGCTGGGATTACAGGCGTGAGCCACCACACCCAGCCAGATTGTGTTTTTAATTGATAGTAATATTCCAGTAGACTAATAAATTATCTTGATTCCTTTGAAGTGACAGAGGCGGAAGAACCAAGGCAGCTGCAAGTTAAGCTCTGTGTTATTAGCTAATGAGTCAGAGTATTTTGTTGTTATTAACACTTTCACTTCTAGTGTGAGTTTTCTGACCTTTATTGGCAAATTACACCACAGAAATCCAAGTGAACTCATTACATAAGTAAATCTTAGCTTTGGTTCCAATAAATTTATATCCCCCGTGGCACTGAATTAGAAAGTGCTTAACTGCAGATTGAGTATCTCTTCTCTGAAACACTTGGGACAAAAACTGTTTCAGATTACTGATTTTTTTTTTTTTTTTGGAATAGTTGAATTATTCTTACTAGTCTAGCATCCCTAATACGAAAATCCGAAGTGTGAAATGCTCCAACAAGCATTTCCTTTGAGGATCATGTCAGTGCTGAAAAAGTTTCGGATTTTGAAGCATTTCGGAGTTTGTGTTTTCGGACTAGGGATGCTCAGCCTGTACCTGTGAGTGTTTGTCATTGTTTACAGTTGGAATGAGGATAGTGTGTTGAATTTTCTTGAATCCTATACATTATTAGGAGGATGATGGTATTCCTTTAATTTAGCAACTTCTGTGTTAGAGCACTTTCATATACTAGTGTATGTGAAATTTGTATATTTATTTCTCTTTTTTAGGTGGTTACGGACCATTTCTATCATCTTGTTCTTGAACAAACAAGATATGCTAGCAGAAAAAGTCTTGGCAGGGAAATCAAAAATTGAAGACTATTTCCCAGAATATGCAAATTATACTGTTCCTGAAGATGGTAAGATTTGAGAACACATTCTTATGATTGAGAAATAGAATTGTTTTATTAATAGTCCTGTAACTGTAATTCAGATACTTCTGATGAATCTAAAAAATTCACTTAATTTAAATCAATTCTCTTTCTACTGCCCATATCCTATAGTGCTAGAGTGTTAAAATGTCCTATTTAAGATCACGTCTGTAAACGTTTCCTAGTTTGACTTTCCATTGAAACTGTGCAGCAGAAGGAGCCGCTTTGGGGTGTGACTGTGTCATGCTGGTATGAACTCTCCCTCTAGTGGTTTTGGCTGGGTGTGACATGACGGGGGCCTTAGTCCGTGATACAGACCTTCTTGCTTCACCCTCAGAGGACCCTGCATGAGAGTCTGGGAGAGGAGAAATCACATGTCCAAGGCCACATGGGTAGAACCACACAGCCAAGGCAGTCCTCACACCCTTTGTCCCCAAGCCCGTGCTGGCAGCAGCTGCGCTTACCTGCTCCTGTCTCCACCCTTGCTGTGGCTGCGGCCTTGGGAATTTCCAGCAGGGCCAGCACCATTCTAGGCTGCCTGAGACTGAGGGGTTTCCGGGGCACAGGACTGGCAGTGCTAAAGCCAGGAAGGTAAACCAGGAGGAGTTGGTCACTCCGTTTCCAGTTGCTTACACTTCAGTTTCCAGTGAACACCAGGTATACCAGAGGCTCACAGGAGTGATGGAAGGCGAAATCACACCACTTCTTACCTCTTGAATTCAAAACTAGATAACAGAGAATAAAAGAGACTTTCCTGGAAAATATAGTTAAGATTTGGAAAATTTATTTTTTATCCTCAATGAAGAGGTAAAAGAAAACTTGCATTTTCATTAAATTTTCTTGCTCCTTATGGTCAATGTTCTTTTCTCCCTCGGGGACAGGCATTATATAAGTATTTTCGTAGTAAAATCCTGACCTGTGTGGGGCCTTCCAATAAAATCCTGCTACTGTCACCTGTGTCAGAAAGACCTGAAAAAAATCCTACTACTAGATATTTCCTTAACAGGACTTTGGAAATGGGCTTGAGCTCCAGCTCTGCCTTGGTCTCACCAGACCCAGCTGCTTTCATGAGCAGTGCAGCCCCCACACTTGCCAGAGTGTCAGTCAGCGCAAGGTCCAGGCTCTTCCTGAGGCCAAATCAAGTGGAAATCTCATTGCAGTTCACCACCACCTGGCTCTTCCTGCAGCCTGGTGATGTGCTGTCCAGCACTGAGGCCGGGTGCCTCTTGCCACAGAGCATGGCTTCTGCTGTGCATTCTGTGGCTCGCATTGCCAGTCTCCCAGCAAGCTGGGTCTTTCATTCTCCTGCTAACCACCTCCTGCCACTCCCCGTCACTGAGCTCAGGCAGTGGCTCTGGGGGGCGCTCCCACAGTGTCCGCCTCTCCATGCCTTTCCCTGTTTCCCTCCTCATAGCTGTGATCCTGGCCCTCACTCCCCTCATCTCAGCAGCTGCCACCGCCTCCTGCCTGACCTCCTGTAGCTGGTCACTCACCTTTCCAGAACATTCTGTGAACTTCTACCAAAGTCACCCTTCTGAGACACAACCTTACCCACTTAGGGGCACCAAGGAGAAGCACCACCACTGGCTGATGGCTGAGGCCACCTCTCCAGCCGGGGGTGCTGAAGGGCTTTCGTCCTAGGGCTGAGGGGACCCTGGCTTGCTGCCTTAGTGCCAGGCCCAGTGACCACTCTTCACCCAGCAGTATGTGTCATCTCCATCTGCGCCCTGCCCCTCCCAAGAGACTCAACCATCCCTGAGCATCTGTAGCACCTGTAGCACCCACCATCAACTGCAACATCCTCAACTCTCACTTAATAATAAAAGGGAACGAGCTGTTCGTCCATGTAACGGCATGGGTGAAATGCACAGTAATTATGCCTAAAGAATCACAGCAAAAACTATATGCCATGTGAATGCATTTGTGTAAATGTCTAGAAAGTGCAGACCTACGCAGGATGACAGGCACACTGGTGGTTGCCTGGGGAAGGAGGGCTGCAGAGGGGGTGCAGACACTGTGGGAGGGGCTGGCTGAGCTCATTGTTTCCATTGTAGTGATGCTGGCATGGCAACACACACGCCAGAACTCCTCCGACAGACCGGGCACAGTGGCTCACGCCTGTAATCCCAGCACTTTGGGAGGCCTAGGCATGCGGATTACCTAAGGTCAGCAGTTCAAGACCAGCCTGGCCAACCCGGTGAAACCCCATCTCTACTAAAAATACAAAAATTAGCCAGGTGTGGTGGCTGGCACCTATAATCCCAGCTACTTGGGAGGCTGAGGCAGGAGAATAGCTTGAACCTGGGAGGCAGAGATTGCAGTTAGCCGAGATCACGCCACTGCACTCCAGCCTGGGTGACAGAGTAAGACTCCATCTCCAAAAAAAAGAAAAGGAAATTACATGTTTGTTTTTGCCTTGCTGTACATGTATTTCAATGCTCTGAATATACAGCAATCCTGAAATTCCTTCTGTGTTTTCATAGAAGGAATTTCAGGATTGCTGTATATTAAAAGCATAATTTAATGCTGTGAATATACAACAAATACTGTTATATATGTTATATGTTAGTTTAAAATTCATAATTTAATGCTGTGAATATACAGCAAACACTGAAATTCCTTCTTTGTTTTCATAGAGTTGTATCTTTGTTTCATGTTGCTTAAATAAAGTTCCATTTGTAATTTCTACAGCAACACCAGATGCTGGAGAAGATCCCAAAGTTACAAGAGCCAAGTTCTTTATCCGGGACCTGTTTTTGGTAAGCAATTTTGTTCACCTTTGTTTTAATACCTCCATTCTTAATCTTTTGTATTTTGCAATATACAAAAGCACACTGAGGTTCAGAGAGGTTAGATTTCTTACCCAAGGTCACACAGCTTCCAAGCAGCAGAGCCTGGATGAGAACAGAGTGCCCTGGGGAATGGCACTTAGACAGGATAGAGTTCATTCACTTGTTATATTTTCCAAAAAGGACAGCGTCCTTCAGCAGAGTCTAAGCACCCATCCTCTTCCTCCATCCAAAAGCACTACCAGCCTGATGGTTTATGTAAAAATGGATGTGCTCAAATTCAGACATTTACTTTTTTCTTTGGCTTTTTATTTTGAGATTATTTCAAACTCACATACAAGGCAGAAGATTTGTACAAATAACTCCCATATACTCAGGCTGGGTGTGGTGGCTCACGCCTGTAATCCCAGCACTTTGGGAGGCAGGTGGTTCACCTGAGGTCAGGAGTTTGAGACCAGCCTGGCCAACATGGTGAAACCCCTACTCTGCTAACAATACAAAAAGTTAGCTGGGCATGGTGGCATATGCCTATAATCCCAGCTACTCCAAAGGCTGAGGCAGGAGAATCACTTAAACCCAGGAGGCAGAGGTTGCGGTGAGCCAAGATGGCACCACTGCACTCCAGCCTGAACGACAGAGTAAGACTCTTTCTCAGAAGAAGAAGAAAAAAGACTCCCATATACTCTTTACCCAAATTGACCAGTTGGCAAAAATTTGCCACATGTGCTTTGTCTATCTATATGTTTTTCTTTGAAATAACCTATAGTATATAGCTAGCTGTGCGTTTTTACTCGCTTCAAACTATTATATGCCAAGGCATTCCTAAGGGCATGTTACCAGTAGTACTCCAGGTTCACTTAACACATGTGGACAAGGTCTTAGCCTGGGTAGCCCTAGGGCTGATCCTCAGCTGTGGGGCCTTTCCACAGACACCGACACTCCAGCCTGGCCTTCCACCACCCTCTTCCCACCATACCCCTGTGGGATGACTCATGAATCCTACAGTAAGTTAGAAAGTAACAATGATGAGAAATCAGGGCCCCAGAATGAGTTCGGAGGAACAAGCATTCCCCCAGAAGTGCATAGCAGTAAGCGCATGGCAGCACTGGGAGAGCTTCTGCAGCTGAATAGATCTGGGACATGCTGTGTTAAATACAGCAAGAGAGGGTCCTCTGCCTCTCTCTGAGTGGGTCAGATTCTCAGAGCCTTTACTTAAGGCCAGTTAATGTGCATTGCAAATCTCTTCAATAGGGAATTTAGTTTGTAATAGATCAAGAGATCCCTTTTTTAAGGAGCATCTTGTAAAACCATAACATACAAAGACACATAGAATGGTATTCTAATGAGAACTAATTTTTTTTTTTTTTTTTTAATACGGAGGCTGGAGTGCAGTGGCGTGATCTCGGCTCACTGAAACCTCAGCCTCCCAAGTTCATGTGATTCTCCTGCCTCAGCCTCCTGAGTAACTGGGATTACAGGTGCACACCACCACACCCAGCTAATTTTTGTATTTTTAGTAGAGACGGGTTTCACCATGTTGGTCAGGGCTGGTCTCGAACTCCTGACCTCATGATCTGCCTGCCTCAGCCTCCCAAAGCACTGGGATAAGAGGCGTGAGCCACTTGCTGGGCTGAGAGCTAAATGTTAATTAAGCATGCATATGTTGGGCACTTAAATGACGATTAGAAACATCTAGTCTGGATGTGGTTGCTCATACATGTAATCCCAACACTTTGGGAGGCCAAGGCAGGTGGATCACCTGAGGCCAGAAGTTCAACATCAGCCTAGATAACATATCAACAAAAAATTTTAAAACTTACCTGACTGTGGTGGCACAGGCCCACCTACTCAGGAGGCTGAGGTGGGATCTCTTGAGCCCAGGAATTTGAGGTGGCAGTGAGCTATGATTGTGCCGCTGCACTCCAGCCTGGGTGACAGAGCAACACTCCATCTCAAAACAAAAACAAAACTATTTCAAGCAACAACCTTTGTAATGACTCAATTCTCTTCATTTCAAGGCTCTAGGCAGGGACAAATAGTCACACTATTACAGAAGAAAGCCATTTTTTGTTTGTTTGTTGGGACATTGCCTCCCATTGTCACCTAGGCTGCCTGGATTCCAGTGGCAGGATCATAGCTTACTGCAGCCTCCAACTCCTGGGCTCAAGCAGTCCTCCTGCCTCAGCCTCGTGAGTAGCTGGGACTACAGGCACACACCACCACACCTGGCTAATTTTAAATTTTATAGAGATAGAGACTTGCTATGTTAGAGACTATAATAGAGACTATGCCCAGGCTGCTCTCGAACTTCTGGCCTCAAGTGATCCTTCTGCCTCCACCTCCCAAAGTGCTGGGATTACATGTATGAGCCACTGCACCCAGCCAAAAGCCCATTTTTCAGCTCATTCATACAGTAAATATGCAGCTCATTCACTGCATATTTACTGTATGTGTGCCAAATACCTCACCTGGTAATTTAGGAATAAAAAGGTGTATAACCTACTCATTTCAGTGTCCATAAGTTTTTTTTTGTTGTTTGTTTGTTTGTTTTTTTTAATACTTGAAAGAAGGCTGACTATTGCTAAAAATAAGTCTATGCCCCTGGGAGGAGTTTCATACCTCATGACATCTTCAGGATACCCTTTCTGTGGTCCAAGCAGCTGT